AACCTATCACACACAGCGAATAGAGGAAGAGTTGCTGAGGGGAATCCATCTTATAGCAATAGAAACCCGTGAGGAAAGAAGCAAAATTAAAGGTATAGAACTGTGTGTGGCGAGAACACTGTAATGAATACAGCTTTATCAGCAGACATTCTGAAGAATGTTTGAGTGATATCTTGAAAAGGAATGTAACAATGAAGAGGGCAAAAACGGCAAGTTAATGATAGAAAGTGAAGAGATGAGTGATCTGAATGATGAAAAAACGCTCGTACTTGTATCTGAAGATTGAATTCCGTACACTATCGACATCCTCTGTCCCTCAACATGCCATATACATTGATACAGCAAGTAAAGGAGATTATTACTTATAAACGGCTAGAATAACATGTGGTAAGACAACTGCAAGCGTATTTCCAGGTGCTAAATTGTGGAAATTGTTGTCTTCTCCATAAAAAATTCAGAAAAAATGTCTCCGATCCCACCGGACAACAGAATCAAGCAGAAGCGGCTCAAATAGACGGAGTGCGACATATTTTGATACTTTGAGAGATTTAATGACAACTTTGACACTCCGAAGCCACTCCGCCTCAGGAGGCGTATCCACCCGTCTGTCGGTCTGAAGTTAGCTTTGGCAGATGCTGGTATCCGTGTAATGATTCAAATTTGGATCAATAGAAACTCAATCCAACTCACGTTATATTGACAGCATGCACTCCGCCGGAACCAAAGTTTTCTTTCTTTGGGTAGGAGCGGAAGGCTGCTTGACTAGTTCAGACTTTAAGGAATTAACCGCAATATCAATGCAACTGGAGATGTAAAACATTCTAATCTACTGCACTCTTACTTGCGGCTTCTTGTCAATATAGCAACCCAATCAACAGAGAGAGTAGCCTGGCAAGTTGTTACTTACCATCATGCAAAGCTGTAAAAGTGAGCTATTCGCGAATGAAAGCAAAATCAGATTTCAGCCCAAGCAGATTTCAAAGCCACAACGGCAATCTGCTTCCCTTTGAGTGCCATTCGTAGGAGAATTCCGAGCAGAGAAGTCAGGATTGAAACGCAGTCAACGGCAACATACTCTTACACCGAGCCTTACCTGCTGTCACTTTCATCCACGCAACAAACTCCGATTCTGACAATATTCTCCTGGATGTGGGAGACAAAATTGAGCTTGTGAAACGAACAAACGCGCGTTGAAGTGCGGGATCAGAAAACACAACTTGACATGGAGTTTGAATTGTCGATGTCTTTGGAATACAAGATTGTTTTTGTGAGCCGTCTAGTCAATTCGTTCCGGGAAGTTGCTAATTCTATACTGTTTGCACCGGTCACATGATGTATGGATAGTTGTGCCAAACAATGAGTACAAAGATTATGAGTATAAGTATGCCGAATAAGATGTCATCTAGTAATTATCTTGATGTCAGAAGATATCTGATAATGACCTTACATCTGAGATTGAAACCCCCCGTGATCTCCATGTCCTCAGCCCCAAATATGCTTGGGCCATCCATGGATGCAGGTGTCAACAACACATTTCAAGCTCTTTCCAACCACGGCTCCCTCCATTCACGGCTCCCTCCATCATAATTTCATGTCAAACCCTTCAAATTCAAAGCTTGAGAACACTAACAAGATTTCTCTTTCAGCTGAATTGAGTTGCTGCAAGTCGATGTTCATATTCATTGATTTCCTTCACGGACATTCCTAAAGCCAGACGAGGCACAATCATCATCGACGCTATTATATCTCACGAAACAAATCTACGTCCCGGTCTGCATGGCTCTGGATAATCCTCCACATGAGACTTATTGACGTGCTGCTAACCCGTTTGGGTCTCATATGCCGGGAGGTGTCCCAAAGTCTCGTGAATACAAAGTTCTTTGTTTCATCCCCCACGGCAACTTCTTTTACATAATAATTCCTCGATCTGTAATGATTCAAATATATATGGAAGTCGATGGGATCATAAGTCATGTAAAACACTAATTTACCCCACATCCCCTGGTCAAACTGTCATCAACTCTCTTCTCTCTTCATAGGTAGGTATCTAGTAGCTTAAAGTTACTACATCAATTGAAGCTATTCATTTCCTGCAGTTTTCCAGATTCACTCCCTGACATTCACCACTTGAAGTTTATTATATTAATTTTTCAAGAATCTAACATTTTAATTGACTAAATCCCCTATATTTAGAAGAAGAAAAAAAGCTTGACCGCTTTTCTATATGTTTCACAACACTTATTATTACACTCAGCCTCCGCACACAAGAATTTAAAATCATGAAGTGACATCCTCGGAAAGCTATCCCGAACAACCCATGTCGTTTCCCAACTCCTATCCCAAACCTCACTCGCTTACCAAGAGGTACTCGCTTGGACTCCGAGTCCTAAGACTATTCTGGGTAGCTGCGGATCCTTTGTTAAGCTTAAACTCATTAGGCTCTGATCTCGTATCCATCAATGTCATCGTGCGCCAAGCGCTGTCAAATCTTACTGCTAGGCTATGCAATTGTTCGCCAAATTCATGACCCCTGGTCCCTAGAAGTCGAGCCTTTTCCATGAATGTATATATATATATACATATATATATATATTCGATGTCGCTGTTGTAGATACTTCATTCTCACGATAGCTTCAGTTTACCTTCATTTAACATCACTTTCCTCTTTGCATCTTTTTGGATATGTTTTCAATCAAGTCACTCATTGGCCTTGCGGCATTTTCTGTACTACAGGTTCAGGGTATTAATCTTGATGTCACCAGCACTGGTAAGTCACGATGCATGAAGAAGTCCTTGCAGAATGAAACTGATTCCATCTCGATATATAGATTCCATCAAATCGGCAGCGAGCATAATCGCAAAAGACCTAGTCGGTCTTTACAAAGAGTCTCAAATTCCAGGGGCTCCCATTGGCGTTTTGAACGAATCTTACTCCTGGTGGGAATCTGGTGCCATGTTCGACACTTTGATTCAATACTGGCGTTTGACTGGTGATTCTCAGTACAATCAACTTGTCACTCAGGGATTGGCCTCTCAACGAGGGCCTAATGACGATTTCATGCCACTAAACCAAACGATTTCCATAGGTAGTGATGATCAATCCATCTGGGCTCTTGCAGCAATTTCTGCAGCAGAGGCAAGACTAGGAGGAGATCAGAATGTTTCTTGGTTTGACCTTGCTCAGGCAACGTTTGATGAACAAGTACTTCGATGGGATGAGGAAACTTGCAATGGAGGTCTTCGCTGGAAAATCCTTCCTTTCAATGCCGGCTATAGCTACAAAAACACGATGGCAACTGGAAACTTTTTCCAACTCGCAGCTCGTCTTGCTGTTTCTACAAACAACGACACGTATGCGGAATGGGCAACCACAGCATGGAACTGGACTCAAACGGCCGGTCTTATCGATGAGGACCACAATGTTTTTGACGGTGCCGATGTTTCCACAGACTGTTCCGCGATCAACAAATTGCAACTTTCGGATAATGCAGGTACATTCATTGCAGGCGCTGCATATATGTACAATTATACCGACGGAGATATCAAATGGAAAATATCTCTCGACAGTCTCGTAAACAGAACCATGTCCGTATTCTTCCCATCCGGAATCGCCACCGAAACGGCCTGCGAATCCATCAATTCTTGCACCACAGATCAACGCGCCTCCAAAGGTGTCCTCGGAAAATGGCTCGTCGATACCATCGCCATCGCTCCACACACCAGCGAGCTCATCACCGAGCAACTTATCAGCTCCGCCCAAGCTGCTGCAAAGACCTGTGGAGATGATGGATGTGGTTTAGATTGGAGTGGTAATGCTAAAAATAGCTCTACTGGTGTGGGAGAGCAGATCAATGCTCTTAATTATGTACAAGGCTTACTACAGAGCCACGCTACCATTAAGAGTTCTTCTGGTGAGATGACCGACAGTGTCTGTTACTCAGAATGAGGCGGTTGAAATGGTAGGAGGACACTCGGCATTGAGTTTCTCAATCTTGGGAGCATTGACTTGGTTGGTGTTGTATAGTTGGAAGATCTTTTTGGGAGCATTGACTTGGTTGGTGTTGTATAGTATAGAAGATTTGTTTGGGAGTATTGACTTGGTTGGTGTTTTATATTATAAAAATTGTTTGGGATTATTGACTTGGTTGATATTGTATAGTATAGAAGATTTCTTTGGGAGCATTGACTTGGTTGGTGTTTTATATTATAAAAATTTGTTTTGAGCATGGTGTTTGAAAATAGAATACTAAAATTCTCATCAAGTTTCTGTGTTGCAAATGAAATGTGTCAGTTTGGTCTCTTTTCTTTGAGTGTTACCCAGAGTGATATTCATACCTGCCATTTTTCTTCGTTTTGAGCGGAGAGAGGGAAGAGAGGGAAGAGAGGGAAGAACTCAGTTGTAGATGAAAAGTTGATCTGATAATCTTTTTACTTATTAACTTCACTTCAATCACATCGCATCACATCACAACACATTGCATTCTTTTCCTCTCTCAAAATTCCTCAAATCTCTTGAATATTGATAAAGCGAAAAAGTATTTCCTCTATGAAGTCCTCATTTCCTTTCCTCATCTCGCACAGTCAAGTATTCACTCACTTCAGTAAATCTCACATGTATCAATCATCCGAATTCATCCACATACACAGCAAATCTTCTCAGTTTTCAATATAAAATCGCTATCTTCAGTGAATTATCAAGCTTCAGGAAAGTTCTTACCCCTCTTTTCGCAAACGAAAAAACACTTACCTAGGTATCTTGTCAACAACTTCTTTTCCCCAGTCGATTCTATTTTTTTGTGTTTTTATTTTCAGCTTCGTTCAACCTCCACCAACGTTCAGATTACAAGTTGTGAAGGTTTTACAAATCTCTTTTTCTCTGAAGATTTAATTCTCATGTCATTTGAGAACGTTTATCTTTCGAATGCGACGCGATCAATTCAGATCAACATTACGTTCAAATCTCAAGAAAAGAGCAAAGAGAGACCTTACCTTCTGCAGCAATGGCCGATCAAAATGGGGACGACGAAGGAGTCATTGTGATCCCCGATGAACAAGGCGATCTCTGGACAGGAAAAACTCACAATGAAACTCTAAGCATAGGTATCGAATATGCTAAGAACTGGAACCTGATGGATGCATTTCGTGAATTGCTTCTGAATTGGTGAGTGCTCCATTCACAGAAGCTCAGATCTATCCAAATGTATATCCTCAGCTTACGAAAGATGATATTACAGGGCAGACGCGATAAAACAATCCTTTTCGGTCTCCATGGAGAAGTTGCTTTATTTTCATGAAATATCTGCAAATGGGCATAAGATCACAGTTCATCATCCTGAATCTAGAAAAATTCTTGGTTTCTTGAATTTTGACAAAGGTAAAGGATATTTGGAACTTTGCAATTATCAGAGCCAACTATCTCGGAAAGCTCTAAAAATGGGTTGGACAGACAAAGACTTGAAAGACAATCTCTCAGGAAAGTATGGCGAAGGTTTGAAGATTGCCGCACTGGTGATGCTTCGTCATGCTAGTTATCAAATAAGAATTACCGCTTCAGGATACTATTGGCGTTTAAAATGGAAAACAAACGACAAGACAGTAGTCGATTGTGGGATAAGCAAGGTCGACGCGAAGGATGGAGACAAGGACTTGCCACAGAACCCAGATGAAACTCAATTCAGACTTCCGAATCCTTCGCAGGATGTCTCTGTCAAGATAGGCACTGTCTATGGTACTTCTGGAAGTCCGCTGACTGAGATACAAGCAAAGCAATGGTTGAATACCTACCTTTACTTCAACTGCTCTGGGCCCAAGGAAATTATCCAGACAAAGTATGGTGCTGTCATCTTGAAGAAAGACTTGAGAAGCAGAATCTATTTGAAAGGAGTCTATTTGGGAAAACTGTCATCTCCACAGCTATACAAGTATGGCTACGACTTCTATCGGGGCCGGCTGGATAGAGATAGAAATTGGGATGCCAGTCAGCTGCCAGACCGGCTGATGAAAGTGTGGGGTGAGGTCGTGAGATGCGGTGGCAAAAATAATGTCGACAGATACCTCAACATGTTTCAGAACACAAAGCAAAACTGGTTGGACATAAATGGAGCTTCAACGAGAATGTCTGAATCTGTGGCCAAGACTCTTTGGAACCAGCTCCAAGAAAAGAATCCCAAAGGGACGAAATTTTACCATGGTGCATCATGTTCTGACAAGGTATTTAAGATTCTACTGATCCGTTTGAGGCATTTAACTAATTGTTACTTCACAGAAAATTCATTCCGTATTGAAGAAAGAACCCGTTCCTCTGTCTGACGAATTATGGAAGGCTTTGAAGAAATACACAAGTGTAATGACGCCATCAGAATACCAGAGGAAGAAATTTGTCAGTTCCGATACTGTCAAAATTCTTGACACGCCATACTGCCAGAGCTTTCTGTGGACACTACGTTCCATTTTATCTCTATATAATGAAACAAACTTTGAAATAGTGTTCAAAGACGGAGATGATATCGATCTTGACGTATGTCTCGACATGAAACGGGATAAAACAAGGCTTCTTCTCCACAAAAGCTATATGAGTTTTGAACAAATCCATAGAGATAAGGACATGGACTGCTTTCTATCACAGGCACGCAGTTCAAATCGTGCCGTCAAAGTCCAAATGTTCACTTGTGAACACATCATCAACTACCTTCACGCACGCATAATACGGGAGCTTGACAAAAATGATATCACTACGGGACTTTCTACTGCAGATAAAGAAAAAGGAGGAACAGATTTGATATTTGAAATCAGGAAGTGTCTTAAACACATGCCCCGCATGATCCAACTCACACGTGGTCACAACAATGGAGAATTGCGTGTATCTTGGGAAGACAGCGAAGCTGGTACTTTCTCTCGAATTCACAATATCAATCTGGAATCACACGTCATCCTACACCGAGACAGTACATGTAGAGACAAGCACTCGGAGCATGTAACACGAAGTATGTTCCCACCCATATGTACTATTATTTGTTAATCTTGTCTTTACTAACATTGTATTATCAGGAGATACAGCTTCAAATGATGAAACTGCAGATATAGCGAACTGTGGATGCCCTCAAAAGATAGTGTCTTCCACATCAAGTGATAATGAGATAACCTTCGCAGGACTCGTTTCGACAGAATCATACTTTCCGAAGATCTCAAGAGCAAAAGTCCCGATAGCATTTTTCGGCTTTCCTCCCTCGCCCATAAAACCAACATCCAACAAACCGTCAATGAGAATGCTAGCTACAGCCAATAAAACAGAAAATGAGGACTTTTCCAAGACAACTGTGTCTACCGCAACTTCTAACACTGATCCAAAAGAAAATTTGCCAGTTCAAGAAAGCAGATTGGATAAAGGACTAAATGTCACTCCCCAAAAATCTTTGCGTGATAGAATGTCCTATGACACCACTTCTATCGAAGCTCAACTCGAGAAGTCCGAGTCATGTCGCAAAATTCTGAGACAGGATGTAGAAAAAGCATCATCAGAGATCAAAGAGCTTAAATATACTTCTAACACCCTGGAAATTGAAAAGGAAAGTCTATCAAAGCAACTCACGAATACCCTGTTAGAAAAAGCAAGGCTCACACAATCGCTTCAACAACTGAAAACACAGAGGATGCCCAATTCCGCCAACTCACAAGCCAAAACAGATACCCTTAGCGTTAGGATTGGAGATTTGAATGTTAAGAATGCGGATTTAGAAGAAATTCTCAAAAAGACCAGAAAAGCTCACGCCGCTCAGGCGATCCAACTCGAGACATTTAAGAAAGAACGAGATGTCATGAAGTCTGAAAATGCAACCCTTCAAGAAAAGCTCTCGGATTCTCAAATCAAGAACTCTGTAATCAAGAACTCTGCAACCGTTGATCTTAAAGAAGCACACGAGAAAATTGATGCTCTTGAAAAGAGAGATGTCAAGATGAAAATAGACATTAGACAACTGAAAACCGATCAAGAAATACTGGAAAAGCGGATTTCCCAGGCCAACAGCCAGATTAAGAGAGCAAACATGGAGAGAGACAAAGCGACGATTGAGAAAAATGCTGCGATTGCCGAGAGAGATGAAGCAATTATGCAGAAAAACAAATCCCTCAGGAAACAACGAAAATTCAAGTCTCTCATGCAGAGTGAATTGGAAAGAGACGAAAGTTCGGATGAAGGTTCGAGATATGTGTCTGGAATAAAGAGAGATAGAAGTCTGGATCTTTCGGAGCGAGATGTTGTGAATGATGGTGTGGGTAATGGTAATGGGAGTAGGTCTGTGAAGAGAGTCAAAAGGGAGACTCTGAAGATTATTGAGCTTGAATGAGTTGTGTAAATACCTAGGTAGTCTTCGATTGTGTAGCTGGAGATTTCGTTACTTTTGAGGAAAGCTTATTGTGGAATGCATTGGATTGGGATAAAGATTCGTATGTATGGGAATAGTTTTGTTGAAAGAGAATTTGTTGATTTACTGTAGGAAAGTTTATAAGGTTTTAATAAAATAATATAAGGATCATAAAAATCTTCACGAAAATCCACCTGAAGATTCTGTAAGGAATAAACATCCTAATTTCGTATGTGATTAACAGGACACCTCTTTAACCGAAACGAAATTCTATACTATTCATCCAAGAAAAGCTACTCTTTAGATCCAAGTCCCTTAAACATTAGTGTTCCTCCTGTTATCCATATTCCCTCTTATCTATTCCCCTTTCATCTTCCTCAAATCTTTCTCAAATCTTCCTCAAATCTTCCTCCAACCTCCAAAATCTCTAATTCCCCCACCTCAATAACCCCAATCTCCAATCTCCAATCCCAATCCCAATCCCAATCCCAATCCCCATCTCACTCATTATCTCTCATAAAACCATTTCAAACCTTTACCAAACCAACCAACTATCTAAATCCCAATCCCTTGGATATTCTTATTTCTCCCTTCTCCCCCATCTCTCCCCTCTTGTCTATTCCCCTTCCAGTGAACCAAACTCTCCCAAACTTTTACTTACTAAGTAAGATCTTACTATTAACCCCATCCCACAATACACTCCCAACTCAACTCAACTCCCTTTATAATATTATTTTGGATTGGGAATAGAATTGGGATTGGAATTCGGATTGTTATGAAATTATCTATCTATATATTTATTCGTTTATATATTTAATTCATAATTTATTATTTCTTTATATTCCTTTATATCCCTTTATATTCCTTCATGCCCGTTAATATCTCTTTTCATATCATTGTATATATATATATATGTATATAAAGATTTAAGGTAGAATAAGTATTGTATTGATATTAAGACTGTGGAAATTGAATCAAGAGAAGATATCTAGATATATTTTTGATAACGATTATTAACTGGGTAGTATATATGAAGGATGATTAATTTATTTAATGTATATTTACACAAGCTTGGATTGTTTTCGGGATGTTTGGATCTAAAGACGGGGTGGTAAAGTGGAGTGAGTGGACAGGAAGAGGTATTATTTTTTTGATAGCTGGTTGAGGATAATTAGATGGTCTGGAGATTGTAATGACTGTGTTACTAGCGAGAGAGGATAGATAAGAGGGGGACCTGGAACAGGACGAGGATTCGTGAGGGAGAAGAAAGGAGTCAGAGAAGGTATTCACACGAATCGAAAATTCTGCCCGATTAAGAATCGATGTCGCAAATAGCGAAAGGTTGGAGAGTGATGAAGGGAGAGATTGGGAGTTGAGAGATCACTATTGTGAAATCGTGGACAATTGACTCCTTTGCGCGTGATTAAATCGCTAATGAGATAAATAGCTTGTTGACAAATCATGCTATGCAAATAATATTTGAGCCATTTTTCTATAGAAAAACAAAGTAAAATTGTGTCTCTTGGTCCGGCGATGTGAAAATAGTATGATAGTCGGTTAGTGAGGAGGAAGGTCGCGTAACTCTTCGCTTGGATATGTTTTTGGAGTGGGGGTATATGTTATGTTCCAACAGATAGAGGCCTGATAAATAGCCGCATATCCTTTTATCGAAGAGCCTGCTTGGAGAATGATCATCTCGAAGAGCTTCATATTCAACCTCGAGTAGAAATCGCTGCTGGAGATCGAGAGACTTAGCTTCCTTTTGCGACCTTCTGTCTTGCCGAATTTGAACCGAATAACCTTAGTTTTTCTTGACAAATCTGACAAGATGGTTGAGATTCTAACCTGTAATATTATGGGGGTAAAGAATGCGTACATATTGAAGAGTATGACGTTGCTAAATGTTTGTGATGAGGATCATGGTAGGTACCTACGCTTCCAAGGGTTTCAAGGTGTGCATCAATTGCTGAGGGCTGGAAGGGGGTTTAGAGATGTGATAGAAGAGTGTGAAGAGTAATAAGTTGAAAATTCTGTGAGTTACAAACATTAAGTATCATCCTGGCAGATAGAACGGTCCGATCTCACGTTTATCAGTCCTCATGACATGAGGAAATCTCGGGTTTGATCAGTCTACAGGGGGAGTCTACTTCGATTTTCCTTTTCTATATAAACAAAGTTCGATCTACATATTCCAAGATAATGAACCCATCAATCCGTATCCTGCAACCAAAACTTGCCTCTTGCCGTTCGACCCAATATATTTTCATTCAAGGCCCATTCCACAAACATCTGATCATCCGAATGAACAACATCCAAATCACCGCACGGATATTCTTCTACATATATAGCATTATCTTTAACATGCTTCGCAATGTGTTCCATTCTCTCATCCCAACAATTCTCTCCCTCAAATTCAAAGTCACAGTCCCGCATCGGACATCCCAATTTCACCGACGGAACCTTTTCATAACGTCCTAAAACCTCCAATGCCTTTTTAGCTCTATCACGTAGAGCTTGATAGAATGGCTCCATCTGGGACTTCCTCATTATGCGGTAGTTTTGTTTCCAATAATGATTCATTGGCGAATCTTGTTTGCTGAGACAAGCGCTCTCGCCGCAAACCCAGTTCAGATGCTTACATGCGACGTGACATTTCCACTGGACTTTATTTGCGAATTTAGCAGTACATCCTGCGAAATGGAATATACAAACGTAGATATGTGTGTGTTCGATGACCATATGGCGACTTATATCATCATAGTACGTGAATCTTGAGAACGAACAGATCTGACATTTCGGAGTAGGCTGGCTAACAAAAAGTACCCGGCGAAAATACTTCTGAAGCTCAAAAGCTTCTGTTTTCCGATTATCTTCTTGTCTCACAATATCCCACACTACTTTGTCAGGGGCTTTTCGCTGCTCCGCGAGCGCGAGATGAGCATATTCGGCATGGATGTTCTTATGTTTGTTGATGTTTGGTTCCTCGATAAGTGTTTCTTCCGGATCCATGTCTAATTCCTTGTAGGTCTCACGGGCTTCATCTCTTGCGTTCTTAATTTCGAAGTAGGTAACAGAGCGCTTTATTTCATATGACACTGGATACTTCGGACGTCGTGCTAACCTCTTGCTGATTTGTGTTGCTAAGGTTTCAAGGGCTGTGACGATATTCATTTCTAGTCCACAGTCGTGGCCTGCACTATTCGCTTTGATCAGCCAATCACAGAGAGTTGATATAACCAAGCTTCTTACCATTTCACAGAAAGTTTCTCTATGTTTCCGGGGATTTTAATTGCAGTGCTACACCTCGGACAATGATCTCCAATTGCCATGCTATCTAGTATCACAGCCATTGATATTTGGGCTTTGGGTTTGACTAAGCTGTCCCAAGTGGTTTGATCAATCGTCCTTCCTTTATGGTCGGTCAACCAAAAGTTGTCCTCCATAATTTGGCGACTGCCAGGTATCCCTTCGAAATTTACATGCAAGAAGCGAGTGAAAGTCTACCATCATTAGCACCAGGGCGGTATTCAATGGGATCACACCGACTCACTTCCCAGTTTCTATAAACACAATACGGCAAACTTCTTGATCGATTGAATACATCAATAAACATTATGTTTTCACTTAAGAGAAAGCTAGGGGCATGGATAATGTGGACCTTCAAGATTTGAAGATGAAGAAGAATGGGTGCAATAAATGGCCTGTGGTGAATCATGATTAGCGTCAACCTTGCTTGAGTGGCAACATATACCTACCAAAACTGCCCCAAGAGCTCACGTACAAGTCGTGCCAATAACAAGGTACTGCATCTTTCGTCAGATCAAAGAGTAATACGGAGTGATTAAATCCACTGACACTTGTTTAAAATGCATTTGAACTTCTAATAAAGTCTGTTGTGGATTGGAGCCATTCGTCGCCAACATCCGCTCTTCCCTTTCCTCGTCTGATGATAAAGCATTGCCAATTAGAGATGACTTTAAAGCCTTGATGTCGGATGTGTTATCTTGTAAGGCCTTCTCTACTCTTTGTACAGATTGCAAGGTCGCAGAATATTGTGCCTCCGTTGCGCGCGTTAGCGCATTGATATTTTTGAAGATCCGTGTGGGTATTTGGTCTATTTTTTGGCCCAGGAAATCTTTGTTAACTTTGGATGATTCTGAGATACCACAGAGTCCTTCTTCCAGGGGATGCAATGCATCTCCAATTGTTTTTTGGACTCTGTCGTCAAGTTCCTTTTGTAGTCTCGTCAGACCACGAGGGATATTTGCAAGCTTTATATTGATCGCCGTATCACGATCAGCTTGTGCTTTACTTTGTGCTGCAGTAAAAGATTGAAGGGGGCCGATATGTTGTTCGAGGAGGCTGGGGAGACTGTTGCTGATGTTTGATTGGACAAGATTCGCGATTTCAGTGGGAAGCTGATCTCGGAGTTCGCAAGCAATTAAACTAAGGAAGATTAAGATTTTTCGTGTTAAAAGAGCAATTAAGATGCTGAGATTTAAATGAATGCCTCACTGGCCGCCTACTTACCGAATTTGATGTAGTTCACACAACTGAATTGATAGTAGAGGTAACGAAATCTCGTCCTTCAACTTATCCGCCTCCTTGAGGAGCGCCCATGCTATCTTCTTTCCGCTCCCAATGATCAATCTCCGAACCGCTCTCCCAGTTGGTTGGTTCCCAAGATCAGATCCATATCGTGAGATTATCTTATGTGTGAACTTATCGACCGGCTTTTGAACGAGATTGAGTTGAGACTTGATGAACGTGAGATCATCAGGAGTAAGAGTAACGGCATTGAAATCACGCAAGCGTTTCAGTGTGCCATGCAAGCCCTGGAGAAAATCAAGGCTACTTTGATAGCTATCCGAGGCACCACCAGCGCTTCTTAGTGATTCACACACTGTCCAAAGCACTCCAATTGCGGCAGCAAGATCTCCTGCGGACCAGCCAAAGGCGGCCATGTGTGATAGTCATAATGAAGGAAGAAATAAAACAATTCTGAATGTGGGCAATTTACTACATAAGAATGATCAGGAATAAGAGCAGCAGAGAGTCCCATATGCAGCACTTGCTACTAGGCATGCAGAAGCGGGAGGTTGCATCAGCGGGCGGCTGTAAACGCATACATGACAGGTATTGGATGAAAATGAGTGATATTTTCAGGGGTAACAAGAACATGTTTCAGTCTCTACCAATCGTTGATGAAATCAGCCCATGTGAACCATGGAAATTGCCTTCAAGGCATGTTCTCGTAAGCTTATGCTGCAGTCACATCTTCTATTTCTGGGACATGTATGAATTGTACAGCAGAAGCAGACGAGGACTTTGCTCATTTTAGAAGCACGGCTGTTTGAGCGGCTGCCACGTGATATACTGACCGCCATAATACCTAATATTCTGCCATCCACCAAGAGATAGTGCCGAGATACAGCTTTCATCCCCTCCTCCAGCCTGAACCCCATCTTCATCTTCATCTCCCACCTTCTCCACACAATTACCTCGCATCAAAGCACCATCAAAATGGAGGTAGCCAAGAATCCTATAGTTGATATTGTGAGGCTGGCTCCTCCCAATGGTGACCCGCCTATGTATGTGCAATTTATAGATAAAATATTCATCGAAGACCAACCCTCACCAGAGCTGCGTGTGGAACTCTTGACACTTCTCGAAGACCTTTTGCGAAATAAGGGACTCGCAGATCTCGTAGGCTGGGATCTCGTGCCTACGTTAATTGATATTCCGGGCTCAGAATCTTGCTTAATCACGATTGCACGACTTGCCAATCCTCGCGAAGTTATAATATCGGTCCTGGCAGAATTGAAAAGGCTAGACCTAGATGGAATTGAAGATGACTGGCATGGGGAAGAAACTGGAGTAGAAGATCAGAACAAGCCAGTGATATCGAACGACCTCGATCGATTCTGTTTCATACTTAGCCTTCTTTCGATCATTCACCCTCGAATCAAAACCAAACATCCTTCACGCTTTTTAGCAACTACCATACATGCTATTGTGCAAGCTTTCCATCCTTCACACCGAGCTGTCATGGCGATTGGCAAGTTTGCGCACATAGTCTCTGGCAAGAAGCGACCTACATTACCCGGACGAAAATCCAGTCTCAGCATCGCCAGCGTTATGCGCCCAGAGATAGAATCAAATTTGCCTCCGGCACCTGACCCAGAAGCACAAGAAGAGGATACGTACGAGTCTGCCATACAAAAAAAGCTTTTGCAAGGACTCGTAACGCATATGCTGGAAATGTACATCGATGTTTATCCTTTAGAATGGGCCGGAAGATTGCAGGAATCCTTTGATCCAAAAAGAATCGTAGCGGGTAGAGCGAGTTTGGCAGAGGCATTTCAAAATACGCCCGAGTATCAAACTAGAGAAACAGTTGCTGGTCAGCTCGTGGTAAGTGCATATATTATGTGGTTAACATGTCATTTCTAATTCATATAGTCTCTTTCTCGCGATCTCGAATTGGCCAATTACGATCTTTTGTTCGATACTATCCATTCAAAAGAACCCATTGCACATGCTCCAAATCCCGAAGATGATCTACCGGACTCGCCCGAAGACATCCCACTTTCTCCTGTTGGCTGCCTATTCCTTCTTACTTCTCTCATATTCTCATCCGTCATGTTCAAATCGAAGACGCCAGAACCAGTCATGTCTATATTCCCTGATCATGCCAAATTGGTTGCCCGATTTTTCGAATCTGCGGCTGGCTCATCTATTGCCATTGTTGATGCAGTAGTTGCAATTGGGTTATGGTTGGAGCATTCCAATAAATTTGTATCTGGGGAGTTCAAAGACAATGACTATATGGCACATCTAAGGGCTTTATCATTATGGTCTGCCACAAACCCTTCTCCTGGCATCCGTTATTGTACTCACAAATTAACCTCTGCCATCCTACATGCCCATCCTGTGGATACCATGAGGTTGACTTTCATATCGAAGACACTGAAGGGAACTTCGGATGAAATCGGCGCGATAGCACTCAAGGCATCCGCAATCACATGGCTCAAGGAAGAGTTGATCACAGCTCATGAGAGGAAAACACAAACCCTTTTCTCTACCACCTCTGCACTTTTGGAGACACAATCCCAAATCTTCCCAAATCTTTCGACGCTTGTCGACAAATCTGATGAAGAATTGAGTGATGAATTGATAGAGTCATTTCCAGTCCACATGGCCGCACTCAATTTTCTATTTTTCGTCGTAGGAAAGCAATATGCAAATATCATCCCTCCTGGAATGATGTCGCGAGTCGAGAGCGAATATCTAACTCCATTAAAGACTGCCCAAGAAAGTGCATTGAAGTTTTTAGCCTCGGTCAACGATACAGAAGCTCCACACATGGAATTTGAATTATTGGGCGAACAGATCTCAATGTGTTTTTCGAAACTCCATGAGAAATGATTGATGATTGACGAGTTATGATCAATGAATATAGGTGAAAGGGAGGGACGATATACTCTCTTGTACCGTGGTTCATCTGAAATCTTTTGCGAAGGTTTGGAGTATGGATACCTGGAGCATATGATTACGAATTGTTTGTGTATTTACGACGGAATGAGAATATTAGACTATGAGGCTGTTTGAGAGATGCAAATCCTCTTGTGATAGTGATGGTCAATGATTGGCTCAGGCATGTTAGATTTTAATGATCCCATTCGATCTCAACCCAGAAGCAATTAGATACTTTGAATGTAAATTTTCCACCATCGATTGCTAGGTATGTTTGCATGTAATGTCACTTGTATGTTTTCACTTATCGATTTACTGGGAACGCAAATTGGATCGTTCTCGATGAAAGTCGAATTCGAGCTATTTGAATGATTTAGAGCATTCGCATCATGCAGGTCATTAATTTACTTGAGCGCGTCCTATCAAGCATGGCGAATGTTTATGATCCAAAACGGCAGGTTACATTCCAGTTATATACCAAAGTAAATTTTGTATATACAAATATTAAAGTTCAAGTATATACAACAAATAATAATCCGTATTCCCCTTCCTCTTTCTCCCTTCCCTTATCTTGGGTCCGACAGATTAAAGTCTAAATGCTAGCAAAAGCCGACAAACTAGATCGAGCAACTCCCTTGGGATCGAAAAGGATAGCATCAGAACAACTGCTTCCCAAAGCCGCATTGTTGATCCACGCAGGTTCCCAATAGAAAAGTCCCACTCCACCATTAACTCCCGCGACTATTGCCGCAACATCCTTAATCCAGGTTGTTTGGCCTGCAGCACTGAATGGAATCGATGTTGCATCGGATGGGAAAGCGTATGCCGGGGATGGACACGCGAATGGCCAATTGGTTTCGGCGACTACGAGTTGTTTACCCCATGTGGAAGCCATGTTTGTTAAGGAAGTCTTGAGACTTGCGAGGGTGGCGGCGGAGGTGTAGAATGGATAGTAGGATACGCCCATCATGTCGAAATCGGTGGTTAGGAGAGGACCTGCTGCGAGAACGGTTTTGTAGAAATATTGTTGTTCGCTCCAGGAATAGCCGTTGTCGAGGTGGATCATGATCTTGGGTTTGGTGGTAAGAGTTGAGTCTTTGATACCGGCGGAGGCGGAGTGGAGGAGACTGGCAATGTTGTAGTAGGAGGATGTAGTGCCAATAGGCCAGAGAAGTCCAGCGCGGATCTCATTGCCAATGGAGATTATCGAAGGAGAGATGCCAGCACTGGCAAAGGCATCCGAGACTGCCAAAGTATAATTATAAACTTCCCATGCAAGGTTTCCAACGGTATCGGTAGGCCAGCCAGAGGGGATCGCCTGGTGAAGAAAGAAGTTAGTCTTGATTCTTAAAGAAATGGTGTGAGTAGCAGATTTGTTTACCTGATGACTTGGATCGGCCCATGTATCACTGAAATGTAAATCGAGATAGATGTTCAATCCAGCAGCCTTGGCACGTTTTGCAAGAGCCAAGTTGTAGGCCAAATTGTATTGGCCACTGGAAGGGTTGACCCATATTCTTTGTCTCACAGTGTTGACACCTGAAGCTTTCAGAATAGTCTCGAGGGCTTGTGTAGTACCAGCGGTATTTTTGTAAGTGTAACCACTTTTCTCCTCAACAGAGACGGACGACCAGTCGACTCCTTTGTAAGTAAGAGCAGCGAAGACTTGTGGCGCAAAGGCCAATACGGAATAGAAGAACTTCATGGTTGAGAATGTGCAAAAAGAAGTAGATGCGAAAGAATGTAGAAGGATGTCCCGTCTTCTATCGTGGCAGATCTCTCCGGAAGATATATAAATTGAGCCTGGAGTGGTCACTATTTAGCCGACTTGATCAACATGTTTGTAACCGAAGTACACTTGCGGTAATAAACAGGATGCTCTCAGGTGTGCGTAGTGGATATTTGCGTCTCCACACCGAGGAGGGCGGCAGCGTCATTAGTCTGTGAGATGGATCGACAGGGAGACAGGTTCAAGAACGACCTCCGGAGAATTCTCAATCCAGTCCAGTTCCCGATCTCGTATCTCAGGCAGGTGTGGCATTTCGGTATATGATCCTTTAAAAAGTGATTGTTCATCTGACTTCCCCTAAGCAGCATACCTAGTCCTTCATCTGACTTATTTGTGGCTTCAATGTAACGGCGTTCATCTTCTGACCTGGTGCTCTCCTCGACACTTGTTGAGGAATATTATTACATTACAGTATTATCCATGACTACTACGTCCAAAAGAATTCATTTAGCTCAAGCTCTCGCGTTGATGGAAGACAGCTCCAGATCTGTTCATGTTCCACCAAGGCGGAGTGGCCAAGTTTCCCAATCACGACGACTCGCTAACAGGAACGCAAACCATAAAAATCTGGGGAAACTTCAACATGGGTTGTGCTGCCATCCCATCAATTAGAAACGACAATAACAAGACGAAACGTGTTTGCCCCACAAAGTTCACAAGCCATGCAAGGGTTATTGTAAGAGTTCTGGAACCTACTTACCGTACATGTAACGCTTTTCCGACTAAAATATACGATTATTCAGCTTTTTATATTCTAGTTTATTTATGAATATATAAAATAAAATTGAATAAAATATTATAAAAAGATTCAGAATTATTTAAATTATTCAAAATAATATATCATTTATTTTTAAATATTTTTATAATAGTATTTTTGAAGAATTAAAATTGAAAGTTCGAAAAATTTCGAAAAATTCACTTATTTTATATAGAAAAAGTATTACAAGTTAAAAATTCTAAATTTTTTCAACTAAAAACGTATATAATTTTTCAACAAAAATATTTAAAAATAAATTAGAAACTTTTATATAAATAAAATGATTTATGTTATTTGTAATCAAGTTTTTATAATTTAATATCAATAATTGAATTAATTATATAGTATTTTAGTTTATATAGAAAAACATGAATTTTACAGGGATTTTGTTACATTTGTTATAGGGGTACGGTAAGTAGATTCCAGAATTCTTACCTCACGGAACGAAGTATAACCTTATGTGAATACGAGAAAGTTTCTCACCCCTTTGATTTTACTTGCCTTTTGTTTCCGGTCGCATACCTCCTTCTTTGTTCATTTCTCTTTTTCCTTTCATTTTCTCCTTCCATTTTTGTCTGCCATCGTTCAGTAAGTCGGCACAACAATGCGCGCGAATGGATGATTTCCCCCCAAAATTATCAGATCGAATCCCGAGAAGATCAGATGACACGTGACAATCTAATTCTCTTGCTGAGTCAGTCGGCTCCAAACATTCCCCCATCTTCGGCACGTAGAGGTATCATGGATGGCAACGGAAATTTTATTTTCCATTTCGAGATCCTGAACAAGGAATCAAGAAACTAACAAGAGTCTTCCAAAAGTTTACGCATCACGAGGGTTTCCACTTCATCCCCCTCCCGACTCCCGAGTGTGCCGATTTTCTGTCCCACTCTTGAACTCTTCAATCACCAATCTTGTTTGTCAGTCGCGCCAGTAAACGCTCTCACTCGGCCAAGAATAGCCCGGGCGTCATGGATGCATTGCTCCTTTCGGATTTAACTTTCAAATAAGGTTTACTAACGTCTACCAAAAGCTTGGTGGTGATCGATGGTCAGCTGTCAGGTACCATCTTCCACGGGAGTTCCTCCGAGATGTACCAGAAGCCATATTCGGTGTCCTCCCGTCCGAGCCGCCATCAGCATGGTCCACACGACGTTGGCGATTGAGATTAGACCACATTCCACATTCTTCACATAGAGATGGCTTCGTAGTTACACTGGCCTTGATTTTCTAGAAATTTGCTGGGGTCTTATCTTATTACCTCAAAGTCCACCTCATACAAAAATTGAATCGAATTTCAGCCCATACTGGGTTCCAAATATCAGTAGCTCCAGCACTATGATCATCCCCTTTCGAATCTTTCAAAGAAAACTCAAGCTCCGATGCTAGGTTCTACCGAAAGCGTCGGGGGAGGGTTGATGAACTGCATCCATTGGAATGTTGTTAACCAATTCAAGTATCATTGGTAAATGAAACAAAGACTCTCCTTTGATGACTATTCCCACTTGGTGGCTTCGCTAACAATCGAAGGAATTTTTCCCTATTTTGTTCGAGGTAATTTCTTCAATCCAGTTTGTCTAAGGTAACTGGGGAATTGCAAAATAAAGTCTATCATAATCGACGGAATGACAATAGTTGAGGATATCGGAAAATCATCAACATAATCTCAAAATGACGGAGGAAAACATATTAGTGGTGGGAGAAAATCTCCCGTTTGAAATGGAAGACCTCAAAGAGCAACGGGACGTACTGCTAGAGCAGTTGCGCAAATTTCGCGAAGAATCCCCCCCCAGAGAGCCATTTGAACCATCTGAAGTCGCATGGCATAATTCTTTGGATGACGATTATAGTAATGAACTTTTTGACGCGGTGAAGATAGGTATGAGAGATTGGAGTAGAAGCGAAGCAAAAGATCTCTCTCAACTCGACGATCTCCAGGGCAGTGACCGTGAATGTTTTTTCAAAGAAGTAGCAAAAATAGTCCTTCTGGATGGACCGGACAAACAGGAATTTCCAAAGGGTCTTCGGGGACAACCCAGAATATTAATAACTATTCTTGAAGCTCTGCTCACCCATCATTTGTTCACGACTGTCTATCCCGATCCTTTCTTCTTCTTAGGTGAAGAAACATCCCGAATTCTCAACGATATCATGTCGTTGGGCAACATCTGTAGGTTTTTTTCAATTCAAGTGTTGGTTACATAAAATTAACCATGCATAGGGAATCTAGGGCATTCCCAACGTTGGCGTGCAGACACCTTAAAACTCATTCATCCATTACGCAAGTCTCCAGATGAATTATTGGTCAAATCGGAAACAAAAAAGCTCTTGCGCAACGCTGCAATCTCCGGAGCTACAAACTTTATGCAGAGTCCCGCCAAATATATCATGAAAGGTAACCCGGATGCACTACAGAAACTTGTGGATCTGTACATGCAGGGCGCCGAGCATTCTTACATGATTTGGGGTAGGGAACCAATGATAAAGCTTCTTGACGCCTCCAACTTCTTGGGCCAGCCATTTGATCTCCAGAATCCCTACATGGAAGCAGTCGACAGGGTCTACAAACATCCCGATATCAATCCAAATGGCCAGCAAATATCCATGGTTTTCTCGCCTGCGATCCTGAGGTATGGGCTCCGCCTTGCAGATATAGGTTATTATGAGAAGAGATGGTGGCATGAGTTCCACAAGTACCGACGTGCAGGTGTGTTTTTTCATGTTCCTAAGCCCTGGGATGCCGATCAAGATTTTGAGGAAAAGACTCTTCCTCCCCGACCATCGAAAGACTTGGAGCCAGCAATTCTTCCTCCCAGAAGTGATTTGAGCGCAGAAGCTCTAGGTGAAAGAATGCTTAAGCGTTTCGACAGAGCGACTTTGCTTGACCTCGTAAAACCCTACCTAGACGATTTCGCTGAACAGCTAAGACCTGTGCTAGAAGGGTTACGCGGGGAAATAGCCCAACGAATTGAAGAGCGCGACGAAATGGAAAAGCAAAGAGACGAATTCAAAAGCAAGTACGGCGAGGCTCTTCAATCAATAGAGCGCCTCAGATCTGGGATGTGATTTGACTGTCAATTACAAAATGTATTGCCGGTTTTTTTGTTATGTTCTAAATTGTTATTCTCCATGTCATATTTCAATTTTGTCTATTCCTCAGTTTCTTCTAGGGGGCATGTTTGTGCAATTCACATCAATTGAGCAAAAGGTAATCATGTGTACGACCGGATGATCACTTCCAACGAGTGCAGGTTTACTGGTAGATAAAGATAAATATCATATGATTGTTTTACATTTCCATTTAAAGCTGGAGTCATTTTTGTTTGTTACTTTGATATATTTTGGGTGATATTTTGACAATACATCGTCACCTGTCTCATTGAAGAAGTTTTTACTTTAATGGACAATGTGAAGTTGTTACTTAGTTGATTTCAGTTTGGTATTTAGTTGTGTAATCTCTGAATTATGTGATGTCATCTACTTCATATACAATCTCACGTGCTAAATCCTTATGGATATTTCTATGTCTGTAGAGTTGAGCAGAGGTGGTACACCCTACTCTTTGCCCAGTCCTGATATTCATGTCCGAACAATCAATTCAGATCCGTATCCTTACCAAAAAGATAGCTAGAACAAGCCAGCCAGTACACAGGCAAATGCTATGATGACCTCAATCACATACCAATGCTGATGTCACTCCTAGGACAAAGCACAATACTCCACTCGAAATTGAAACGATTGATACACAGAGCCACACAATTGAGACATTTCTCATTCTTTATTGCTGACGTTGACTAAAAGCAAAACTGAAACCCCAAATTCTACGCAAGCATCTAAACTCAAACTCTTGATATGTCGCTCTTTCACTATCTCTCCCTCCTCATCAATCTCGAAGATCTATGAGTATTTATTGTAATTTCACCATCGGCACTTCAATGCTCAGGAAATTCGATGGTAGTGTCGGATACCACTCTACCACCAACAGCGAGCCGGAATTTCAGATTGGCTCCTCTGTCACCAAATATAACTTGGATCTGAAAATGGAACTCATGAACCATCCTGTCAAGGCGCTGGTTGAATCTTGACCTGCTGTCCATGCCGAAGTTGAAATCTGCAGGGAAGTTGTAAGGTATTTTGCCAACGCTCTTGACGCCTGTTTTACCCGTTAGTCAACATATATCAAGAAAAGGCCCATGAACTTACGTGGATCGTCCATCCTATCAGGTTGTTGATCTCCTTCGCATGAATAAAGTTCAATCGTAGAATTAATGGCTTTTCCAGGGCTGTAGGGGGACGAACAACCTTCTGAATGAAACGACCCTTCAGTTATCACATCGCCCTACAAGAATTAGAATTACTATCATCATAAGCATCTTGGGAGCCCTCTTACCTTTGAAACACACCATATGGCTCGGCCTGCACAATACTTTAGGTTTGAGTAGTCATCGATGTATGCGTGCTTTTCCTCATCGATAAATTCCCGGAAGACACGACTGATTCGGAAGCCGTAGTGCCGACGAACGTACTTAACGCGAGGCGCAAGTCCTTCGAGTGCCCGAATTCCAGCACCCCTTAAAACTGCGAGATCACTATTTTACAGATTAGACGCGTCGAGCCACCGGAACGTCAAGATACTCACGGGCGCTCAGGGCATAGAAGCTCAATATGTCCATTTGAAGCACACCACGACAATAATCTGCTGTATAGATATTTTGAAGCTCCCATTCCACCCACAAGAGCTATGCGCTTCATGGAAGTTAGAAAATGAAGCCGACTAGCTAGCAAGGTCACGTTGAAACTTACATGGATTTTTGCCTTTCTTTGGCGCTTTGCTTGGTCGACCTGCTTTTTAACTAGTTTGATTACCCGATCGACGATTGGATCGAACACGTACTTCATGTCTTCACTGGAAGGATGTCAGAAGCTTGCGATAATGTATGAGCAGGACTACCAAGTCTAATCATTACTCCTAGTCTGAGTTTGGAGTGGAAAACTATACCGATGGGGATTTACACTTGCAAATCGAGTTCAACTTACAGTGATAGGAAGATAACATTATCGTCTCTGTCATATTGATGCGAGCTTGGCAAATCAAAGTACAGCGGACCTAGTTCGAAGGTGACAGCATTCTCCATGGTGGGACCGAAGCATCTCTTAAGCACCTCCCAATTGTTCATCAGAGCGCTTCCCGGACCTTTTCTCGTATATGGGATGCTGTCGAAAGCATTGCCAAAACGATCAGATAAGAGAGCGTGAAGGTGACGATCAATATAGGTAGAGCCACACTTTCCACCTATGATAACAATATTTAGCTGTGCTTCGCTGCAAAGTAGATGCCATTCCTTGTACAAGAGAGGGCCTAGATGACCGATCGACCTTCCCAGTGAGTGGATGTACTGACCAGTTCCAACGCAAAGTTCTTCAAAAGTCAACTTCGGCGCAACCGAAGTGACTGTGTATGTGGTAATATCGACAGTTCCTCCCCCGCAATCACATATCAAGACATTATCACCGCGCTGGGACATTGATCAGCATTTAATTAATCATTTGAAATGCTGCAATGGCTTACCTGCACAGCATTGAGAGTTCCTGGTGCAGCTAGCTCTTTCAGAGTTGCAATCGCTGCCGCTTCCGGTTCCGCAATTGTGTGTACCTCATCCATTGGGTTTGCTGCAAATCCAGCCTTCCTGGCAGCGTTCAAGGTGGCATGCTTTGCCTCATCAGACCAGATGGCTGGCAAGGTAATCCAACAGTCTATTGGCGACATTCTGAAGGCATCCACTCCAAGCGTTCTTTCGGCGTGTCCAGCAAAGGCAACATACAACTCATGGAGAAAGTCCTCACAGACACCTTTGCAGTCTCGGTGTGGTGGCAAGTGCATCATTCCTTCATCGATGACTATCTTTGAGATTATATCGTCGTCCTCGCCAAAGACAGCGTTTTTGTCTAGAAGGAGCTTCATCCAAGAACATGACGTCAATTTTGGTCCCACGTTGAAGCCCCATTGGTTTGATTTTATGAGGCTTGGATTTTCTCTCGCATATGCAATCCTGGATGGGACCTTCGTCGTTTCGGTTTGCTTTTTGCTGCAAAGAGGCACAAAGCTAAGTTTATCGCCAGTTTTCTGGGTGCTAAGGCCATAAATAATACCTAGACACGTATGAGCAATGAGGGAAAAATCTGGTCGTAATACAAACCAGAAAATGTAGTTCCATAATCTATAGCGACAATGATTTTATGGCGTGGCGGTAACCCTGTAGCAACTGCTATGTTGGGACCCAAAATATTACCAGAAAGTTGAGATGTCATTACGTGAGTCTTGCGCTGGCGTTGGTGTTGCGTTGATATGGGAGTTCGGGATGTCTGATGCACTCATTTCTGGGGGGAATGAGAATTAACTTACTAAGTTATACCAACGCGTATATTTTCCACAAATGACGGATCTCGCATATTTCAAAACAGAGAGCTCCAAAGCTTGCCATGCACAGTGGAATGTCTCTGAAGGCCGCATATTATGAAACAATTCTACTGCTACCTTGACGGTCGGCGAAAATTCCACACAACCCTTCGAATTGTATCGGTAACTTTAATTGGAAAAGAACAGTACTGAAATTATCTGACTGCCATAAATGCTACTCATGTTCCTCAAGTTTTTAACTTAAAAGAGAAAATCGCAAAATATGGGACTTCAAGCCAGTTTTCACCAGTTCATCCTCAAACTGAAGAGTGAAAATCGAAAAGATTACATCTACCCCAAACGGAGGACGATATCATGCCATGAAAAGCGACAGAACAGTTCTTGGCCGTTCAGGAAATCCTCAATTTCTAGCAGGGTTCGACTGATGACCGCCCGCTTCAAATCCCACAGTACCTGTCCTTCCAAATACAAAACTAAGGATGGAGAATGTTCTGTGGTAGACCATGTAGAAGATTTGCGCGTTGGGTCTACAGAGGCAATGAATCCTTGTTCAGAAGTTCTTTCGGATAGACCCTCCCGGAAGAAAACCACATCTTCGATCTCTGCGAACTCAGGAAACAGGCCACCTGCACCTGCATTAATAGGCCATGATGTCTCACCATTCGTTGAGGTTGACAGGCATACAGGCGTTGGAAAATGCGACTCTATCATGGTAGATGTCCATTCTATACATGCTACAAATCCTGGCAAGCCTGAAGGAAATTTGCCATCTACCCTGAACGCTCAAGCTACCCCCCTATCATCTCACACGGATCACGACATTGATCAAAATAGGGTCCCAACCCCACCAACAAGCGTTCTACCTAGAGAGCCATTGCCTAACGCGATTCACGTCTCAAAATCAACCCAGTCTCATGATTTTCCAATGGCTAGCGGCCGAAATTTGAAACGATTAGATGACGAGGTGCACCAAAGTTATGAAGAGCTTCGAACACTGAAGAAGGAGATAGTCGACCTAAAGGAACACGAGTCAGAACTCCTGCAGAGAAGTCAGCGGGACAGAAAAGAATGCAATCAAGCTGTACTAGCCCTCCAAGAGATGGCCTTCAAGTCATGGAGAGCGGGGACATGGCTCCCTGTCGACCATGATGCCGTTGCCCTTGAAATTTTCGCACTCCAGGCAGAAATGAGCAGATGGATACGGAGTGCAACCAGTGACGACTCTCGGCTTGATGATTTATCTGAATTATTTCAAGGAGAATATCAGGCCAAAGATGCATTGAGGGAAGAGCTATCGAAAGTGATGGTCTTCAAAAACGATGTACTCCCTGAGGGACTACCTCAGAGACGGGCTAAAAAATTCTTGCTCGAAGCGCTTCTTGCTCACCATCTTTTCACGAATGTTTTCTCGTCGCCATTTTCTTTTCTCGGAGATGAATCAACGAGCTTGGAGTTTATTCATGAGACGGGTTTGTCATGTATGCATGTTTACTCTATATTAGACGAGCTAGCTAACAATTATAGGGAACATTGCAGATGCCCATAGATGGCGCTCTGATACACTGAGGCTATTGTTCCCGGAGGCTTCGGAAGATGACAAAGCTGAGGCTGTCAGACTCAAGATACCACCTTTACTTAATGATAGAGCAAACATTCAAGCAGAGAATTTCTTCAACAGCCCGGCTCGGTGCTTCTTCGTTAAAACCCCAGAACTAACGGCCAGGCTTCAAAAGATCTACCAGCAGGCCGCTGGTCTAGCCTACCATCTCTGGACTCGACGATCAATGCTCAAAATAGTCACGCGCAAGGATTTGAACTCTTTCTTCGACATCGATGACAACCAGATGTCTCTCCACGTTAGCGTGCAAGAAGACATCGAAAATAAGCTAACAGGCGAACCTATCAGTTTGGTATTGTACCCCGGTGTTGTGGCATATGGCTTGGACAACTGTGCAGAATATGAAATTCCACGACCATGGATGCCAGCGAAAGTTTGGTTGCACAAGCCTTTGTCAGAAAAGCCGCAAGTACCAGTTGGGGAGGATTTGGAAATCAAAGGATAGGACGAATTGCTTTGGGGGGGAGGGGGGTTTCCTCAGAAAGTTTACCATTCGTAAGAGGGACTTATGCCCTGAGGTGGAGCTCATCTGATTGAGGTCTGGAAGAGAGTGGAGTATTAGGCAGGACATGACAGTATTGCAGTTAGTGTACTTCCCTGGAAATAATGAGCTTTGTACTCAAATTATACCCCAGACAGTGAAACGAGTGAATATAGTAACATTTGCATGTGGAGTTCGGTCTGTCGATATCAGATAATCGTGTACCCTGAAATGGGGGTAGAAGGGCTCTAAAACTACGCGTGCGGTCGTATGTCCTCAATATTGATGTTATGAGTTGGGGCCCTTTAATATTTTCGAAGGGGTTTGGAGAGAAAGATAATAGGATTTTACTAAACAAGCTCTGCCAGTGTATATAACGCACGCCAGGATATACATACAAAATCCATTGAACTTACTTAATATACTGTGCATACCTAGTCATCAACAGATGCACTTCCACGGCCCAAAACCATCTACATGTACATCCACCTCCATCACCTCCATCACCTCCATCACCTCCATCACCTCCATCACCTCCATCACCTCCATCACCTCCATCACCTCCATCACCTCCATCACCTCCATCACCTCCATCACCTCAAACCAATCACATCCATCCCAAGAAGTAAAAAGAATCTTCCCCAAATCTCCAATTCTTGCACTGCGCCTATGTATATATCTACCCCCAACCAAGCAAGCCGCCCCAGAAACCTTCAAAGAACGCCCAGACACACTTTCTAATTCCTCTACTAACCTCAAATATTCGTTAGAGCCGCGAAGTTAGTTTCTTTACATCTTTAATCCTCCTCTTCATCTAGAATCAAATCGCTATATAAACTCCAAATCCCATCATTCCACAATCTCACCAATTCATCATCTCGCCACTACAAAACTCCTCCTCTCACCATCCCAGATTTCTAGCTTTCCAGGTCCTCGCCTCAACCTCCCAAATGCATCTCTAATTCTCATCACTGCCGTCCAAATCCCAGCTCCAGCCCATCAACCAACCAAACAACAGTCCTTCCCCTTCCTCCTCATCCATCAAAAGGAACCAGGGAAAAGAAAACACCCATCCCCAAACCCACAGCACCAACAAAAAATCAATGTCCAATCTGGTTAACCCCCCAAAAATTTCAATCTATTCAAATCAGATTCTATTCCATCCATACAACTGACAACTTACAATCCACCTTCCACGATTGGAATTAAGATCAAGATTAAGATTCCGGGGTTATGCATCTCTGCATGTTTCTCCCCTTTCCCCTCCTCGCCCCCAAAAAACTCCCCAAAAATGATTTAGCTCTTTAAACCCACCTCCGCCCAACCACCAGCAAATCAATTTGCAATCAATCTTCAATCTCTTAAGAACCAACAGAAACTTCCTATCCATATCAATATTCCACTTCCACTTCCACTTCTACAACCTACAACCTACAATCTATAACCTACAACTCACCCTCCACCCTCTTCACTCCACCATCTCCCATCTCCCATCCACTATCCACAATTATAATTAAAACTGAGACTGAGATCCAGATAGAGATCCAGACCGCTTTATTTTAAAACTCTTCCCTTCCCCCCACCTTTCCCCTCTCTCCCCCCCTCTCCCCTTTCCCCAAAGCCTCATTCCGACCCCCCTTCCACTCTGTTTCCAATAACAACAATAACAACAACAACAACAAATTTAATCAGATTAATCTAATCAAACCTCCGAATTATTAAACCCTCGAATCAACAAACCTCTAAATCAACAAACCTCTAAATCAACAAACCTCTAAATCAACAAACCTCTAAATCAACAAACCCATACCCAACCCCAAACTCAAATCTATAGAAAAAAAAAACCACTTGTACAAACACACAGACGATAACCTTAGACGAACCACGAAAAAAAGGAGAGAAAAAAAGAAAAAAAGAAATAAAAAAGAGGAAGGATTTTAAAGAATATCCAATATAAAACATCAACCTCTACAAGAAATCAAGAAATCAAAAAAACCTATCAAAAATACATAAAAACACTATTCAAGACATTTTTTTCCTAACTTTCCCTTCCCTTTCCTTTCCCTCCCCTTTCCTTTTCCCTTTCCCAGCTCCTCGCCCTTCGATCCCTCGCCTCCTCTGCCCCTCAATCTATCTACTTATTAGTCACCTACTCACCTACTCAATCTGCCAACCTACCTAAGCACTTACCCGCCCCCTCGCCTAGCAAACATATATGTCCATCTAATATATTCATCCATCTAATATACCCACTTTACCCCTATTCCAAGAGGCGAGACCAACACAATAAAAAATATTCTATCATCTTCATCTTCATCTTTATCCCCATCCCCATCTCTATCTTCATCTTCATCTTCATTTTCAATTTCTCTTAACAAAAAAAAAGAAAAGAAGAAAGAGAAGAGCTACATTTTATTTATCCACTATACATACAAAACACATACACATACACACACACACACACACACACACACACACACACACACACACACACACACATACACAAACACGAATTTCCCATTTTCTAATCCATCCATCCATCCAGAGGCATCTACCCGATAAATCCGAACCACCTCACACCAAGAAACCAAGAAAAGGGAGTAAATAGATCCATCATATCATACAACACAATCCAAGGACCTCCGTCTTTCCCCCTTTCCCCCTCTCCCCCTCTCCCCCTCTCCTTCCCAACCAACCGACCCAACTCCTATATCCACAGTATCCGAGTACCTAAAGTTCATCTAAATCTATACATACAAACATACATACATACACCAAAAGAAAGAAAAGAAAAGAGAACAAAGCCACAGAAAACAAAACGATCTCAAGATACAATTACACGATCCAAAGATATCCATTCATCCAATCCAGTAAACCAAGAATCTAGAATCTAACCCCCGCGCCACTCCTCGTTCCTCCTACTTTTCCCTTAACATCCCACGCCCAGTTTTTCCCTTTAGCAGCATCAAACGCCTTACCCACTCTCAAAGCATCGCTAACCATTATCGGTTCTTCCAATAAATGAGCATAAGTATGATAAGGCACGGAATTACATCTTGAAATCTTCGGTTTCGCTGGTGCATCCTTCTCATTTAATTTCCTCTTCTCTTTGATGATATCTTTGAGCTCTTGGTCGTCAGCAGTGATTTGTGCTTTGAGGAACATCAAGTCTGTAGATTTCTGAAGGGATTCCATGACTGGAATACGGGGTTCGTAGGCAATATCGGAGAGATTTGGAGGATCTGTGGAGACGATGGACGGGTCGAGATGGGCGGATGGTTGGAGAAGAAGTTGTTGGATATCTATTGATTCGCCATGAGGTATTGCAGTCTTATGTGAAGGTGTGATACAATCCATATCGACTTCTTTTCTTAAAACGTGATCAATGTCGACTGCGGAAAAATAGGCGCAGGACTGTGGTAGATCGTTGATTCCCATTTGTTGGGAAAACATAGCTCGAGTCCAGAGATTGGATACTTGTAATGCTAATGCAGCACGATATTTATCTTCATCTTGAACTAGATATCTGATTTCGTCATGAACAGTTATGGCTAGGCGGGCATTAATATTGTAGAGACGAATGATGTAATCCATGGAAATAATGAGAAGGTGCAAATAATCTACACCTGAGGATTGAATTGCCCAATTGATGCGTGATGTCATAAAACCGCCTTTGGAAACGAAACATGCCATTAGGGCTTCTGTTATTCCTGCGCCTAGAACCGGAGTGCGTGGCCTTTCTTGCTCTGCAAATTCTTCCAACTTGTTGAAAACAAAACTTTCTGTTCCTCCACGCCAAAAAGGTCCGGGATAAAGAATCTTTCTGCTGGTTTTGACGCCTTTAGTAGCCTTGTAAAGGTTTCCAGCTGTGTGGGAGGTTTCAGCTTCCGTGAGACTAGGATTGAATTGCCGAAGTAGAGTTGACGCGAACTTCAAACCAGCTCCATAGATTCGACCATAATTGAAGACCTTGGCATCATTACGGGTAATACCGAGAATGCCAGCTGTGCGAGAATGGAGATCCGTACCTGCTGCTTTGGTACCCTCTAAAGTCATAAAACCGACAGCATTACCTCCATGTAGTTTGAATTGGGCATCTCCAACAAGACTAGCAATCCATAGCTCTTCGGAATCCACATCTGCACCAACGAAGCAATAACCAGGTGGGGCCTTTATCATTGACTTTAGTTCTGAGCCAACACGGTTCGCTTTGGCATTACTTGCTGTAAGCCATGTATTCTCCACTGCTCTTCGAGTCACGGTACCCATGGGAATTATTTGCGGTAGAATATAGCCTATTTCTAACTCGGATTGCGATGTTGCAGGCCCCTTTGCTCCATCTTTTTCATATACCGTCATCTGAGACTGTATACGATTTCTTGCACTTATCCAATAAGAACAAGAAGCATTCATCTCTAGTGCTTCCCTTGCATATGAATACTCGGAAGAAAGAATACCTTTGTCGAAGTATTGCACATAACTTTTCGCCATCGGATTTCCACATTTAGCCAATGGACCGTCCTTGTGCGGAATTTTAAAGTAAGCAGCAGATGTATCGTCTCGCAGAGCTACATCAGCTTCTTCAAATGCATTGCACTCTTGCATTTGTTTTTGTTTATAATTGTGAGCCTCTTCGATAGGAACTCTAAAAGTCCAACCATATTTGTCGGACCATACTAATGGATACCCATCCCAAGCCAAACGCAGAAGTAATGGTGCAATTCGAGTACGGACTGATAAATTAATAGGACCGGTGACTTTAGGGTAGAGATCTTTATACCATTGAGGCTTACCAGGCATCTTCTGTCTTTTAGCTGGTCTTGGGGGATCCTTTTTTGTTTTCCCCTTCACCATTTTGACCTCTTGAATAGTCCAATCGAGTTGTTTTAGCCAAGCGTCGTTCTTCCATGACTCAGGATCATCTTTCATCTCTAAAGCTTTATCTTTCAAAGCAAGAAGTCGTT